TCTTAGACTTGTTTCCCAATAACCCTTTGAACTTGTTCAAAAGGTTAGTCCCCGAGTGTAATGGACTTGGCTTTGATATCGAGGGGAGCCTCTCTGAGGTATTATGAACTCGAGTTTAGATGACTCAAATGCGTTGACTGTCGGTGACACTCCCCGAGTATTCGAGATATATTTGTGTTTTGGCCCTTGAGCCGTTTCTTGCAAAATCACAAGTATGATGTTCGTATAGTAGCAAATTTCTTAGAGACACATTATTTTAATATACAAAGATTGCTTCTTTGAATAATTGATACATGTGTATATGTTTTGCCGTTAGGGCTCCTATATGGACACGGTTCATCTGACCGTTTGGTCCATTATAAAGTTTTCCTATCGAGACCTTCTTTGACATGAAGTAATTTCCTCGAAAATATAATCTCCGAGGGCGATGCCCCCCCAGTATTCGAGGTTGATTGAAAAAAATATTGGATACTGTTGAGTTCTCCTTAGGTAGCACGTTGTTGTTGCCTCGTTAAAACCTCGCCGGTAAAAATCATTTGGGACAAAATCCGAACTAAGGGAAAAAGAGAGTAACGCATGCTTTAAAACCTAAGGTCTTCATGTAAAAGGGTTCCCTCGATGTATACGATCAAACACCTGCAATGAGTTAGTTTTAAATTCAAATAGACAAAAGGAGAAAATCATACCTTAGCAGTTATATAGTTTGAGTAGTGATACATTCCAATTGTTCGGTAGTTGTTCGCCTCCCATCAAGACAAGTTTGTAAGATACTTTACCGACAACTCTGATGACTCAATACGATCCTTCCCGATTTGGGCCCAGTTTCCCTTTGTCCGGGTCTCGAGTATTGAGGGTGACCTTCCGTAGAACTAAGTCCCGAATTCCGAAGTGTTGAAGGTTAGCCTTTCTATTATAATATCTCTCGATTCTTTGTTTCTATGCCGCCATCCGAACAAGTGCAGCTTCTCGTTTTTCATCTTATAGCTCGAGGCTTGTATTTATAGCCTCGTAATTTGTCTCATTTGATGCATTCCAAAACCTGGTGCTGGGTTCTCTATCCTCGATCGAGATTAAGGCATCGGAGCCATATACCAAAGAGAAGGGAGTAGCCCCCGTGCTAGACTTCGATGTCGTTCGATATGCCCAAAGGAGCTCGGGTAGAACTTCTCTCCATTTTCCTTTTGCAACTTCCAACCTTTTCTTTAGGTTTTGAATGATAGTTTTATTTGTTGACCCGTCCTATCTGTTCCCGGTTTGGTGGTACGGTGTTGATAAATCCTCTTTATTTTGTGTGCTTCGAGGAAGTCCGTTACCTTGTTGACGATGAACTGCTTTCCATTGTCACACACAATCTCGGCAGGTATCCTGAATCGACATATGATGTGGTCCTAGATAAAGTCGATAACTTCCTTTTCTATGACTTTCTCGAAGGCCTATGCTTCCACCCATTTAGAAAAATAATCAGTTATAAACAAAATGGATTTAGCTTTACATGGGGCTGTTGGTAGAGGGCCGACTATGTCCATTCCTCATTTCATGAAAGGCCACGAGGAGAGGACTGAATGTAGTTGCTCTCCGGGCTGATGAATTATTGGTGCGAACCTTTGACATTCATCGCACTTTTTAACAAAATTCTTAGTGTCCTTTTCCATGCTATCCCACTAATACCGTGCTCTAATAATTTTACGAATCTAAGACTCGGCGTCGGAGTGATTCCCACAAGTGCCTTCGTGAATTTCTCGTAGAATATAATCGGTGTCTCCCGGCCCTAAATATACCGCCAATGGTCCATCAAAAGTCCTCCTATACAATGTTCCATCTTTATCCAAAATGAACCTAGCAGCCTTGGTTCATAGAGTCCTCAACTCTTTATGATCCGATGAGAGCTTTCTATTTTTCAAATAGTCGATATATTTATTCCTCCAATCCCAATTCAAACTCGTAGAATTTATTTCGGCATGACCTTCTTCGACCACAAATTACGATAATTGGATGATAGTCCCCGGGATGATATCATCTTCTTCAACCGATGACTCCAAATTAGCAAGTGCTTCGGCCTCACTATTTTATTCTCGAGGCACGTGATCTAGAGTCCACTGCTTGAATCGGTGCAAATTTACTTGTCGCTTATCCAAGTACCTTTGCATTCTATGCTCTCGAACTTTTAAACTTTTGTTTACTACCAACAATGAATCACACTTGGCTTCAATAACTTCTGCCCCCAAGCTTTTAGCTAGCTTGAGACCTGCAATCATGGCCTCACACTCAGTCTCATTGTTAGTCAACCTAGAAGTTTTGATAGATTGTTTGACAGTGCTACCTGGTGGTGGCTTCAAAACAATGCCAAGTCCGGACCCTTTCACATTCGAGGCACCGTCCGTGAGAAGGGTCCATACCTCCGATGATGTACCCGATTTTAGCAGAAGTTCTTTCTACCTTGGGTACGAGGGTCGACGTAAAATTATGTACAAAGTCAGCTAGTATTTGAGACTTGATAGCCGTCCGGGGTTGGTACTTGATATTGTAAAAAGAATTTGAATTTGAATTCTTCTTCGTTACCTTTTTTTGTGAATTAAATTTCCAAAGTCTTAAACAACATAGAAGAAGCCAAATGCTGATGTCATCCTTGATAATGAAATTAAAGTTTGTACAGTACATTAGGAGTTAGAAATCTAGTTATTGGTTGATCAAATTGGGGACCGTTAATTATTGTCTTCTTTAATATTTTAAATTAACGTCACCTCATAAATGTCTTAGACTAGTACTATCGTCTATCCATTATAAATGTTTTTATTTATTTTTTAATGTTTTTGTCATATTCATTTAAAAAATTATTTAATAATATTAGTCATAAAAGTTATTGGACTAAATTATCCTTATCTCTTTTATCAATTGTTGTTAAACATTTTATAAAAGTTGTATAAATTAACATTTATCTGAACAATAATATATTTGAAAAAAATTAATACTCCCTCGGTTATTTATTACAAGGTAGGTATTGACTTCGCACCCCTTTAAGAAATCACTTATGAAGAACTTATTTTATTAAATTATCCTTATTAATGATAATTAAAATTATATAAACGAAATAATAATTGGAAAGTGTGCGTAATTAATGATAAAGGTAAATATTTCCTGACTGTTAAATGAAAAAAAATTATTATAGTAAAAAGGGTACGGTATAAAATACCTTCTTGGACACTTTATTTAAAGTAATCTTATTATGAACCAAATTTATTTGGCCACAAAACCATTGCTCTCACCTCACTAAAAAGTACAAATTTTCCTAACAGCTTGTTTGGATGGTATCATATTGTTGCTTAAATATAATATTTATTTTGATTGTTATTTTAATTTTATTATATCATATTATTAAATTTATTATTATGTAATAACGAAAAGTGTCACTTTATAAAATAACGGATTTAATTTGGTGGCATCGTTTCTTTGCTTTTATCCATTCATCTTGCCTCTCTAATCATATCTTATTCTTTACTGAAAATGCCCAAATATGCCACTTAACTTTCAGAAATGGTCTATCCATTCCATCCGTTAAGAAAATGCTCATTTCATGCCACCGCCGTTACACATTTCGCTCATCCATGCCATTATTGACTAAAGGTAGTGGTATGAATGGGCCAACTAAAAATTGAACCGTTAGTCAATAATAGCATGGATGGGCCAAATGTGTAATGACAGTGGCATAAAATGCGCATTTTTTAACGGATGGCATGGATAGATCATTTCTGGAAGTTGAGTGGCATTTTTAGGCCTTTTCCGTATTTATCTTACATAGTTATATAATAATTCTACTTCGTATCCTATTTTTTTAGTAATATTGCAAGTTATTTTTCATATTGTTAATGCGTGACATCATAAAACGACGACAAAATTTAAATATTATATTCATTAAATAATATAATACGGCACAATATAATATAATATAATATAAAACGATTCGTAATAACAATCCAAACAAGCTGTAAAGCAATCCGCACAAGTTAAACTACTTAATTCATTGTTGGAGAAATCAAACAAAAGGTACGAAAGGGAAAATCTGGCTTATTTTAGTCTTATATTGTCCAACAAATCAATATTATAAATTTATTGTTGTGTCAGGTTCCTTTGGTTTGGAATATATAGATGTCACGCTTAATAAAATTTAATCTAAAACTCATAAAAAGACAATGTATCTTGAAATATTGGAATGAAAATTTTATATTATCTATCAGAGTTAATGACAAAACAATAAATAGGTACATAATTAGAAAATCATTTCATTATTGATAAATCTCCAATAATTAAAAAAATCTGAAATAAAAAAGTGAATTAGCCCATTAAATTCGCTAAACCTTTTGTAATCCCCAAAATATCCTTCTCAAAATAAAACCTCTTGCTCCTCTCCCTTTTTATATTCGTCGTTCATCTTTCTCTCTATTGTTTGTTTATAATTATAAAGAACAACATAAATTTTTAGTTTTATCAAAATCAATTTGAAATTAAAAAATTTGCGATAATCAACCTCTTTCAATACTGGAATAATTTTAAGGGCACTTCAATCATTTTAAAAATACATTAAAACAAATGCTTGTGAGCACTTTTCAACCAACATCTTGTTATCATTTTCAATATTTATCCAAATAACAACTGTTTATTTTTCAAATTTTGTTTCAACATTTTAAAAGTATCTTTTAGAAATTTGATGTTTATCTGTACTTCTAATCAATTAAGTATAATGAGCTCCTAAACTTTTTTTGGAGGCAGCGCGAAGCTGGCCACTTTTGCCACAAATTATGAAGTATGCTTGACCAAGTTAAGCTAAAAGAATGGTTGAAAGATGCCATAGTTAGATTCTTCCCATGAATTCTAAAATCTCTTTTGTTGGTTTGTTTGTTTTTCTAATATTATTTGCTTCATAGTACTCCTACTAGCTAGTTAAATAATTACCATAGTTCTATAAAAGGAACAAAATCTTCAACAACTCTATTATATATGTTTTGATCCTTTAAATTTTTTTGAGTGATTTCATTGCCCAAAAATCTAAAAAATGGAGATATCAAAAGATCAAAACAAGAATATTATGTCCAATGAAGAGGAAGATTTATTAAGTGTTATGCAATTGCCAATTGGTTTAGCTCTTAATATGGTCTTGAAAATCACAATGGAACTTGGTATATTTGATCTTATGTCAAAAGCTGGTCCAAATGCACAATTATCTTCATCCCAAATTGTTTCACAAATTCCAACAAAAAATCCTCAAGCACCACTTATGATTGAAAAGATTTTGAGTTTTCTTGCTAGCCAATCCATATTGAGTTTCACACTTAATAAGGATGAAAATGGAGTTAAACAAAATTTATTATATAGTTTGACATCTCTTAGTAGAAATCTTCTCACTAATGAAAAAGGGGTATCAATTGCTCCCACATTTCTCTTGATGAATGACCAAGCTATGGTTACTCCTTGGTATACATAGAATTCTCTTCATATATTTTAATGAATTTAACCTATATACACTGATAATATAAATTTTTTACTCTATTAATACATGTTAACCTGTTGTAGCAGATAATTTGTCTTACTATTTTTTAGTGGATTTAAGTTACACTCAGTAATGGTTTAAAGATTTTTTACTCTGGCTGTTTGATTTTACCAGCCATAATGGGTTAGTAATTTTACCAAATTATCGATTAATGTTTGTTTTAGAATTTTATCTATAGTTACTATATTGGTGTATTTTAACGTATTGTAGCGGTTAACTTGTCTTGTGCTTAAGCAAATTTAAATTATATATGCTGACAGTTTAAAGATTTTTTACAGTCTTGTAATTGTAGGTTAGTTAGCATGTTTACCAAACTATCTATTGATGTTTGCCATAGAGATTTACTTTTAATTACCGAATGGTGGCATGATATTTAAATATGTTTTGCACCATCAATATATAGAATTTAAACTTTCTCAATATATTTAATCTTACTTTTTATCGATGACATGTAATTATCTTTTAGTTGACTAGTTGATATGACATTGTGAAGTTCTTTCACATTGTCACCATGCACCATTAATGTACAATATTAAATTAGCGTTTGGACATAGATTTAGTTAAAGCTTTAAAAAATAATTTTTAAAGTAGTTTTGAAAAATAATTTTTGGAAGGTGAAATTATGTTTAGATATTTATTTTATTTGAAAAAAATTAAAGTTTTGTCAGTGAAAGAACAAGTTTCACCCAAAATCTATTCTTATCAAGATTTTGGGAACTTGAAAAATAATTTCAGAAATTTTTCAAAAATAGATCTTTAATCTATGAATGACGATTAATTTTGGGGCTAAAACTCTTTTTTGATGTACATACTAATCTCATTTTTATGAATGACGGGTAATTATCGTTTAGTTGACTAGCTGATCTGATAGTGTAAAGTTCTCCCATACTGTCACTATGCACCATTAATGCACATAACTTAAACTCTTTTTTGATGTACATACTAATCTCATTTGTATGAAAGTCAAGTAATTATCCTTTAGTTGATTAGTTGATCTAATAGTGTATAGTTCTCCCACACTGTTTGACAATATCTAGAAGTTAACCTATATTTTCAATAATTCTAATAAAAAATTTTTTTTTTTTTTTTGGCTAATGAAAATCTTTCACTTTGTAAGGTTTCACTTGAAGGATGCAATTCTTGAGGGAGAAGTACCATTCAATAAGGCCCATGGAATGGATGTATTTGAATATCAGGGAAAGGACAAAAGATATGCAGGGGTAACTAATAGATCTACACAAAGCATCAATAGAACAATCATAAATAAAATTCTTGAGTCCTACAATGGCTTTCAAGAAGTACAACAATTGGTAGATGTTGGAGGTGCACTTGGTTTAACAATGGCTTCTATAGTTTCCAAATATCCTCATATTAATGGTGTTAATTTTGATCTCCCCCATGTCATCAACATTGCTCCTACTTATCCTGGTAAGATTTAAGTTATATAAGCTCGCAATTAGAAGTGGATCCAGAATTTAAATTCTATGGGTTTAAGTTTTAAGATTTTTAGCATTGAATCTATAATATTTTTAAAGTTATAGGTACATATCTACTATTTTTGTAATTTTAATGAATTTTTACTTCGCGTTGAAAATTATGGGTTCAGTTGAACCCGCAGACCCAACATTACATCCGCCTCTGCTGGTAATATATATACGCAGATCTTATCCCTACCCTAGGGTAGAGAGGCTGTTACGTTTTTTATAGATCCTCGGCATCCCTCCCTCTAAAAACTCTCCACCTTACTCTTGGGGTGGCTCAAACTCATAACCTCTTAATTGGAAGTGGATATATATATATATATATATATAATTATTATATAAACATTTTTCACGTTGTGCGTAAAACTCATCAAGAATGCTCCTATTTATTCCGATAGGATTTAAGTTACATATACTGACAGTACCAAAAAAAAAAATTATATTATTAGTATAATTTCATCTGTAATAATATCTCTTTATTAATGTTTATCATACAAAATTTACTTGTAATCACCTTACAGTAATTTTGATTATTTTGTTTACATAAAACTTAAACTTCTCTTATCAACTTTTTTTTTCACTAATCACCTTCATTTCAGTAATTTGATTATAAAGAGTTCAACTTCCTTCTTGTTAGGTGTTGAGCATGTTTCAGGAGATATGTTTCAAACTGTTCCACAAGGAGATGCAATGTTCATGAAGGTTAGCATTCTCTCTGTTTCTGAGATACTCAAAATGTATGTATTTAATCTTGACCTTTTACTTAGTGGTAAATTGAGAATATTAGAGACAAAGAATTTTTTAAAAATGACCTTAACCTTGAATTTTCTTTAAAACTTATGTAAGACATGATGAATTTAGTTACTTAATATTTTTTATGGTAGAAAGTAGCAAGTCGCTGGTAAATGGTAAAGGTGCATGTAAGATGACTCAACATATATCATTGCTTTAAAAAAATTATAATAAATACATATATAGTTTTTATTAAATAAATTTAACTCCGCTATAATTAAGAGTTAACTTTAGACAATAATTTCATAGAACCGCCTTTCAGCGAGACTAATGGTTACAGGAGGCGAATGTCGCCTATCGGCTATGAACTTATCTGAATTTATAACTTTCGATACGATATATATATGTGTAAAAACCAACTCCTTTTGTTTCAATTTAGATGAGTTAATTTGACCCGGCACACAGTTTAAGAGAAAAAAAGAAGATTTTTAAAATTTGTGATCTTAAAATCTTAAGGAGTAAGAGCTTTGTGGGGCCAAGTCATTTATGTGGTTATAAAAACTTCTCATTAAAAGTAAAATGAGTAAAATAAAAAGTTTAAAATTGAGGTATTTCCAATTATTGAAATGTGTTATTCTTTCTGGAATGAACTAATAAGGAAGTGTATTATCTAAATTGAAACGAATGTAATACTGAAATCTCAACAAATCTTATAATTGAACCTATAGTTTTAACAGTACAATAATTTTAATGTTGAAATTCTTAAAAGTTGAATCTATTAAATTTAAATTTTGAATCCGTCTCTAAATGTTTAATCTTGTAAAATCACTCTATTGATACTTTAAAATATATGCAGCATGTACTCCATGATTGGGATGATGATGATTGCATAAAGATATTGAAGAATTGTTGGAAATCCTTACCTAAATCTGGTAAATTGGTGTTAGTTGAACATATAAAGCCAGAATATCCAAAGACTGATATGATTTCCAAGAATGCGTTATTCCTTGATGTATTTTTAATGATAGTTACTCCTGGAGGGAAAGAAAGAACGAAACAAGAATTTGAAACCCTAGCAAAAAAGGCTGGATTTGCTGGTTTCAAAGTCATAAATTCTGCATATGATATTTGGATTATGGAATTGTACAAGTAGTAACTTTTTTATTACTCTTAGTAAGGGGCGCTTTACCTTTTTAATGGTTTTACCCGAATATGAATCCGAATTAATCGGATTCAGTAAAATTCGGATACTGAATACCTATGGCAAAGTGGGGAAAAATAAAACTTGTTATCATGGTTTATGTTAGCATATGTATTTTTTTCTTGTTCTTTTTTATTTTTTATTTTTGTGGGGTGAGTTTTACTATGTGGAATGGGGTTTTAATGAATAATAAAGACTTTTTGGGTAAAGACTTTTTGGGTATATATAACCATATGATATTCAAAATTTGCTGTCCTAACTAATACAATTTTGCTAATGGCATAGCTAATTCAGATTCGTCTTGCATATGGCCCATTAAAGAAGGAATCGCTCTTATTTATCAGGGTGTTTCCATTTCATTGGAGTAACAATTCGGCTAATATCATATGCATTTGGATAGAGACAACCAAATATGCAGGCAAATGCAGTCACAGACATAAAAAAGATTTGCTAGTATGGGAAGATGCAAATCAAGAAAATGAATTCTTTTCCTGGCAAATTTAAGCAATGTAACTTATAAAAGATTTTAATGCAATAAAAAAATGTAACGATTTGATAGGCCGTTTTGAGTAGTTTTCCTTCACTCGGTAATTTAAGGGTACGAGTAGCTCCGTATGATGTATTATGACTTGTATGAATCATCGATTTTGGTTTCCGGGTTATTCGAAATCGATTTGGAAGAATGAAATTCATTGTTAAAGCTTTAGGTTGGAAGAGTTGACCAAGTTGGACTTTTGAGCATTTAATTCCGAAATAGAATTTTGATGGTTCTGTTAGGTCTGGATGAAAATACCCGGGCATATGCTCGGATTTGCAATTGAATATTTCTAGAAGGATTCGACACTAATTGGTGAAAATTGGAATTTGAAGGAAGTTTATAAGTTTGACCGAGAGTTGACTATTAGGATATCGGATTCGGAATGTGGTTTCGAGAATTGAAATATCTTCGTTATGCCATTTGGGACTTGCTTGCAAAACTTGAGTCCATTCCGGGTTGATTTGATATGTTTCGACGCGAGTTTTAAAAATTGAAAGTTCAAGTTCATTTAAGTTTGATTTGAGGTGCGATTTGTCTTTTCGATGATGTTATGCATGATTTGAGGCCTCGAGTGGGTTCGTGTTATATTGCGATACTTGTTGGAATATTCGGACGTGGTCCCGAGGATCTCGGGCGTGTTCCGGATTGATTTCAGATCATTTTTCTTCATGTTTTCAATGCTGGTGTGCTTTGGTTTCTGGTGCCTTGATTGGTCTTCACGATCGCGAAAGTTTGTGTGCGATCGCGTAGAGGCAATCTGGAGCGAGGCATTTTCTTCATTGCGGTCGCGACTGGTTAGTCGCGTTAGCGTAGAGTCAGAATGGCCTTCATCGCATTGGCGCTTGCATCTACGCGTTCGCATAGTTCTTGGGACTGGATTGGGCATTGTTGGTCATCTCTTCGCGTTCGCGAGGTTGCTTCCGGGAACGCGTGGTTCTGTCAGTTGGGTATACCGCGATCGCAAGTCTTCCAATGCGATTGCATAGGGCAATTTTTCTGGAGCACTGCTTTTCTTCTTCGCTATCACGAGGATGTTTCCGCGATAACGATTCATTAGTTTGCCCAGTAGTTATATAAAGTACTCTATTTCGAAAGTTTCGGCCATTTTAGCATATTTGGAGCTAATTTTTAAGCGATTTTTACCATGTGAATTTGGGTAAGTATTTTCTACTCATTTTTATTTTATATTATAAATCCATCTTCGTTTTTCGGCATTCAATTGAGGGTTTCCAAAAGAGAAAATTTGGGGTTTTAGCCTAAAGATACATAGATTGAATTTGTCTTTTGAACATCGATTCAGAGTCGGATTTGGGTGAAACTAGTATGGCTGGTTTTGCAGTTGAATGAGTTGTCGGATTTTATAAGTTTTGTCGAGTTTCAAGGTATAGGATCAGACTAGATTTTTGGGTCAATTTTGGGCTTTAGATTAAGGATTCAATATTTATCGATTATGTTATTTCCTTTGGCATTATTTGATGTATTTGAGTTGCTTTTGGCTAGTTTCGAGCCGTTCGAAGGTCGGTATGCGCGGGATAGCATTTTTGGAGCATCGCTTGACTTGCTCGGTATTGGATTTGGCTTCTTCAAGGTAAGTAACACTTCTAAACTTGGTGCTGATGGTATGAAATCGTGTTGTGTGATTGATGTTGAGGTGGAGCTCATGCTAGGTGACTAGCATGTGAGCGTGCGTCGTGTAAATTGTGATTTAGTTGATTCCATAGAACTGTGTAGCTATTTTATATGAACATTTTTATCTCACTCTATGTGTTAGAGCACTTGAGCTATAATTCATGCTAGAAATCACGCTTAGGCTATATGCTGGTACTGTTTAAACCTACAGTGATCGTTCTGAGCTGTTGAGTTATTTTCTTAATTGGAGTTATGTACTCAGTCGCATTCATCATTACACATCATATCTCAGTATATGTTATTGTATTGTCACATCTCGTATCATTGATTAGGCTGCTTAGTATGAGTGTTTTGAGCATGAGGGACTGGAAAGATTGATGATAGAGTGAGGCCAAGGGCCTGTTTGTGAGTGATATTTATTAGATCGGGCTGCACACTGCAACATGTTTTATTTATTTATGCTTGGTTCTGGTTTATTATAACTCTTGGGCTGAAGGAGCCCCTCAGGAGTCTGCACACTCACACTGAGCGCAGTTGATTTATATTGAGGGATGGATCTTGCCTGGGTATGGATCTTGCCCGAATTATTTATATTTGGGGATGAATTTTTCCTGGGCTAGATTGGCATTATACAATACCGAGTGACTGACTGTCAGTTGATATATATATTTGGGATTGATCTTCCTTGGGATGGATTGAACGTATACAATACTGAGCATGAGGTTGTATTTATGCTTGGTTGGGTTGGATCTTTCCTATACAGTGCTGAATATTGAGCGTGATGAGTGAGAGGGTGAGATCATGAGATTGAGTAATCTGAGAGTGTGAGTACATGAGTTCATCAATGAGATACATTGCATTTGACATGCGTGCTTGAAATACATGCATAGAGAGCATTTCCTTCTGCTACCCGATTTTGTGACATTTATGATTTTTCCTGAATCTTGACATGTAGGCATAGAGATGTACTTTTCTCGTGCTATATGAAAATAAAAATATCTTATTTATTGTTGAAGGGTTTTTGGACAAAACATATACAGTTTTCAAACTTACTCGTATGTTTTTGAGACTTTTAGTGAAAGATCTGGGATTTACTGTCATACTTGAAAAACATGTCTATTTTCTGTGACTGTGAACGAGTTGAGCATCTTACCTCGGAGCTATTTTCATGTATCCTTTTATTATACTGCTATGAACTATTACTGGTTATTGGAGTTTGACTCGGACCCTTGTTCCAGCTCGTCACTACTTTCACCCTAAGGTTAGGTTCGTTACTTATTGAGTACATGAGGTAGGTTGTACGCATACTACACTTCTGCACCTTGCGTGCAGATATTGGATGCTGATGTTGCTACGTACGACGGGAGCTGGATTGGAAGATGTACGTACGTTGCAATTACAGCTAGCTCTTGTTCATGGTAGCCCTAGACTTATAAAAATAAAATCTGTTTATGTACATTTGGGCAAGTGATATATTTATTTCCTACTAGCTTTGTAAATTCTAGATCTTAGTTCTTAGTGCTCATGATTTGTACTACCAGTCATTGGGAAATCCTTGGTGTAAAAGCAGTTATATTATCATTTTTTTCTTAATAATTCTCATTAAATTGGATAGTTGTTAATTGGCTTACCTAGAAGGTTAGGTTAGGTGTCATCACGACTAGTTGAATTTTGGGTCGTGATAAAAAAGAAAAAAGAATACGATGTCTAGCTCCGTTAGAGGTTTCAAAAGGCAGCTTAGTACACTAAATCTCTCCACGTGCGAGGCTTGGAGAAGGATAAAACCACTCTATATCATAAATTTTTGCAAGAGGTTGTTATATGCAAATTAAATATATATATTCTTCTTTCTGCAAATGCAGTATAAAATTAGTTTGAGCTGCTCGATAAATGTCTGTATATGGTTAACAATATGTCCATTTTCCTTTAACATTCACTATATTTGAATTATCTAATCTAAGCTAGCTCCACACTAATTAAAAATTCAACACTTACTACCCTTGATTATTGTTCCTCCATCGCCATCCAGGGATCACGGACCGACCATAGGACCTTGCTCGGTAAGTGAAACGCATTAGCTGTCCGGGTCGGAGGATGTGAGGCCAATCCATAATCTAGTATTAGTGGCTTCAGAATGAATGCAATCTTATATTGTATACATTTATTTTTTCCCCTGCATATATTTATACATAATACGAGCAAAAGCAACCTGTTCAATTTGATTCACAGAACCTACTCTAGATCGTCGTCCTCTCCTCATGATTTCTCTGGACGACCAACAATAACACCAACAATAACGACATATTCAGTGCGATCCCACAAGTGAGAGTGATATATCTGGACGACTGAAATACAGATAAAAGCCTAATTAGATATCAAATTTACAAACACAATAAGAAGCTAGTGATCCTGCATTGTGTTTCTTGAATTTGAACCCCATTCTATTGCTTCAGCAACAGCTCTTTGTCTTTCTACCACAGATATTTCTTCTTCTTCTTTATGATTTTCATCAATTGGAACTTGTGATTTTTGAGAAGTAGTAGTGTTGTAATTTATTGGCGATGAACCAATAAATCCAATAACATTGTAGGGTTCTTCACCAAGAAAACTAAGAGCAGTGACAACATCACTAATCAATGGACGAACTGCTGCATCATCTTGTAAACACATAGCAGCAACAGCAACTGCTTGATTGAAATTTTTCTTTGGGAAGTCATCTTCAAGAAGTGGATCAGCTAGTTCTATGTATCTACTTGTGTCTTTTAATATGGGTTCCGCCTAAAAAAACAAAAAAATTCAGTCTCCATTATATGCATTACAACAACATGCTTGCTACTACTGCTTACTCTTCATCTTTCTTTGAGCCGAGGGTCTATCAGATACACACTATCCTCCACATACCCTGCTTGTGGGACTATACTGGATTTGTTCGTGTAGCAACATACCCGGCGTATTCCCACAAGTGAGGTTTGAGGAGGGTAATATGTAGGTAGACTTTATCGCTACATTGTGACGGTAGAGAGTCTGCTTCCGGTAAAACACTCGGCTCAATGAAAGCAAAATCACAACAGTTATGAAAACAAAATCACAACAGTTATGACAAAGAATTACGGAAAAAGAAACAATTACACCCAGGAAAAAAGTATAACTGAAGCAAAGGATTTCATTATATGCATTGACGGTGTAAAAATAAGAATATTTGCACCGTGTGACCTTTTCTTGTACCTTTTTCTAAGTTTTTCCTACGTTAGTAGGCTAAATTCGCCTTGTTGTAAGTACTATCTTGCGCGCAATAGCCCACTGGGGCTTACAGGGACAAAATTTAAAGAGTGACTTTAGAAAAGGTCATTTGTGCAAATGCCTCTAATATTTACACAATCAGATTACTTATAAGATGAAAGTTTAAGTGTTGTGCACTGATAGTATAAATCTTTTTTATCATAACAGGTAACTTTTCATAATAAACTTGATATATGCTGATCCGAAAAAATAAAGTATTAGTAACTAGTGTAGTCGATTAAACTGCAATCACTGTATTCATCTCTTTATATTATCAGTATATAAAACTTAAATTCATAACGTATTTTTACATAAATTCACTTTTATTTTTTCTAGCCAGAATACATGAATTTATACATAGTTATATATATCACTGATTATTTTTAGTTTATGAGATTAGGTGAGCGGCTATTTGATTAATTCTTCATTAAAATTACTATGTCAATTCACCTAGAGATAAGTACATGCAATCATCTATAATAAGTTAAATCCATATATTTAAAGCAGAAAATTAAAGAGAAGTAAAATATTTAACTTACCCAAGTAACTAAATTCTGCTCATGGCCATCCTTTGTAATATCAACTGCTCTTTTTCCAGTAATTAACTCCAATAAAACAACACCAAAACTATAAACATCAGATTTAACAGTTAATTGACCTGTCCTTTGGTATTCTGGAGCACAATAACCATAAGTTCCAATAACTCTAGAAGAAACATGTGTATTATCACCCACAGGTCCAAGTTTTGCTAATCCAAAATCTGAGAGTTTTGCATTGTAATCTTTATCTAGCAATATGTTTGAGGATTTCAAGTCTCTGTAAATGACTGGTGGATTGGCTTTATCGTGTAAATATTCTAAACCTTTTGCTGCATCTAATGCTATTTTCATCCTTGTATACCAATCTATAGGAGATTGACCTGGTGAAAGATCTGAAAAAATGCATAATAAAAAGATTTCTTGTTAGTTTGAGAATTTTCCATGTATTGGTTCAATAAAAGGCTAATCTACACAACGGCGAAAGCAGGTTTTTTACCAAGGAGGTTCAACATTCGCTATATATACAAAAAAGAAAAAGGTAGCCCGGTGCACTTATAAGCTCTCGCTATGCGCGAGATTCAGGGAAGGGTTGGAGCACAAGAGTCTATTGTACGTAACTTTACCCTGCATTTTTACAAAAGACTGTTTTCATAACTTGAATCTGTGCCTTCCTGGTCACATGATAACAACTTTATCAATTATGCCGAGATTCACACAAGTGTGGATTCGCTATATATACATTAAAAAATTTAACCTTGAGTACAGTGGTGCCCCTGTACAAGAGCAAAGGGGACATCCAGTGCTGCAACAATTACAGGGGCATCAAATTAATAAGCCACACGATGAAGGTTTGGGAGAGGGTGATTAAGGCGCGGGTGAGGGAGGCGACAACTATATCTGGGAACCAGTTCGGTTTCATGCCGGGACGCTCCACCACAGAGGCGATACACTTAGTCAGGAGGATGGCGGAACAATACAGGGATAAGAAGAAGGACCTTCATATGGTGCTTATCGACTTGGAGAAGGCGTATGACAAGGTCCCGAGGGAGGTGCTATGGAGGTGCTTGGAGGCGAAGAGTGTGCCAGAAGCCTATATCAGAGTAATCAAGGACATGTACAATGGAGCTAAGTCTAGGGTTAGGACGGTGGGGGGCGTATCAGACTATTTTCCTGTGGGAATGGGGCTCCATCAAGGATCGGCGCTGAGCCCCCTGTTGTTCGCCTTAGTGATGGATGTTCTGACCCGTCATATCCAAGGGGATGTGCCTTGGTGTATGCTCTTTGCGGATGATATAATATTGATAGACGAGACGAGGGCTGGTGTTAGTGCAAGGTTAGAGATATGGAGACAGACCCTTGAGTCTAAGGGTTTCAAGATTAGCAGATCTAAGACAGAATATCTGGAGTGCAAGTTTGGCGACGGACCGAGTGGGGTAGGCGGGGAAGTGTTGCTTGGTTCTCAAGCCATCGCCAAGAGGGACAGTGTGAAATATCTTGGGTCTGTGATCCAGGGGGACGGAGAGATTGACGGGGACGTCACCCATAGGATAGGAGCGGGGTGGTCAAAGTGGAGACTTGCTTCAGGGGTCCTGTGTGACAAGAAAATCCCGCACAAACTAAAAGGGAAATTCTACAGAGCAGTGGTTAGACCCGCGATGTTGTATGGGGCGGAGTGCTGGCCCGTGAAGATCTCGCATGTTCAGAGAATGAAGGTTGCGGAGATGAGGATGCTTAGGTGGATGTGTGGGCACAC